CTTTGTTTCCCCCCCCCCCCCCCAGCGCGAAAGTCACCCCTCCTTCCCAAACAAAGGAGGCTCAAACTCAGGTCCTTTACCTGGTAAGGCGATCTAGGCTTTGGTCTTGGTTTCATATGTCATTTTTGTTTTACCTAGGACATTAAAAACATGGAACGTGGATTTCATGTTCTGCTGCTGAATATTCTGTATGCTAACCAAACTTTAACTTTGTCATAATTATTGCTAGTTTTTTGATTGAGCTTTTGTCCCACTATTCAACTTGCTCGAATCCCTCTCCTCTGCTCCTATTAATTATGTTCTAAATAAATTGTAGTAGGATGGTGGTTCTCTATGTTTCTATGTGTTAGTAACTTAAAATAAAACAATGAAAAAATGACAAGTTTTTATGGCAATAGGCATTTATGCAGGCACGTGATGTGTAACTTGCTCTGCAAGTTTTTATGAGACTGAAGTCCAAATGGTATTTTTGCATCGGGAATTTTTTTTTTAATTATTTTCCTCTAAAATATGGGTAACTGAATGTTGTAACAGACATCAAAATAATTTGATTTATTAAACTGGCTGGGAGCTCATCTAGATTTTTATAGTATTAGAGTAGACCTGGCATTTTGATGCAGGATGAGGGATGATTCCTGAAGAATAATTAGAAATAGCAAAATAGCAAAACTAGCAAGGAGAATTCCAGCGAGAAAAAGAAGAAGGCAGCAAGAAGGGGGAAAGGGCCGGAGAGAAAGGGGAGAGAAAACCAGAGAAGAAGTAGAAATCAGGGGAAATGAGAGAAGGAGGAAGCCATAGGCAACAACCCAAGCATTCTATTTTTTAATTCATCAATTCATCAACTGAAAATTACAATGCAAAATAGGTTTAAATAGTAAAGCAACCCTAACGAGTTTGGGCCAAAGCCTATACAAGTCCAAATTTAAATAATAGTCCAAGAAAATAAATAAAGCTTAAATAAAATAAGTAAACGTCGTCCGATGTCCTCATCAACTCTTCCGGGGTGGGAGAAGTCGAGTTTTTTTTTTTTGTAGATTTTTCATTAGTTTCAAAAAAAAAAAAACTGAAATTCCGGGTATGAATAGTATCCGTGAACAGTGACTTCTTTTTTTCTTTTGCCTAATCAACTAGAAAGAAAATTGAACAAGAAAACTGCTGCCTCGTAACAAATTTTTTTTTTGTTTGTGTTGTTCCACAAGTTTTTGGGAAGAGGATAGGAAGAAAGTTTTTGATTGTGGATGAAAAATTACCCAAGTTTTGGCTCTGATATCACTCTGATGCAGGATGAGGGATGATTCCTGAAGAATAATTAGAAATAGCAAAATAGTACAACTAGTAAGTAGAATTCTAGCGAGAAAAAGAAGAAGGCAGCAAGAAGGGGGAAAGGGCCGGAGAGAAAGGGGGGAGAAAATCAGAGAAGAAGTAGAAATTAGGGGAAATGAGAGAAGGAGGAAGCCATAGGCAACAACCCAAGTATTCTATTCTTTAATTCATCAATTCATCAACTGAAAATTACAATGCAAAATAGGTTTAAATAGTAAAGCAACTCTAAGCCCATACAAGTCCAAATTTAGATAATAGTCCAAGAAAATAAATAAATCTTAAATAAAATAAGTAAATGTCGTCCGATGTCCTCATCAACTCTCCCGGGGTGGGAGAAAAACTCGACCCTGTCGAGTTTTTTTTTTTTTTTTTTTTTTAGGAAAACTGCTGCCTCATAACAATTTTTTTTTGTTTGTGTTGTTCCACAAGTTTTTGGGAAGAGGATATGAAGAAAGTTTTGGATTGTGGATGAAAAATTACTCAAGTTTTGGCTCTAATACCACTCTGATGCAGGATGAGGGATGATTCTTGAAGAATAATTAGAAATAGCAAAATAGCAAAACTAGCAAGGAGAATTCCAGCGAGAAAAAGAAGAAGGCAGCAAGAAGGGGGAAAGGGCCGGAGAGAAAGGGGAGAGAAAACCAGAGAAGAAGTAGAAATCAGGGGAAATGAGAGAAGGAGGAAGCCATAGGCAACAACCCAAGCATTCTATTTTTTAATTCATCAATTCATCAACTGAAAATTACAATGCAAAATAGGTTTAAATAGTAAAGCAACCCTAACGAGTTTGGGCCCAAGCCTATACAAGTCCAAATTTAAATAATAGTCCAAGAAAATAAATAAAGCTTGAATAAAATAAGTAAATGTCGTCCGATGCCCTCATTACATTTTATCTTCAACATATGGACCACGGTATGTGCTTTGGTGTAGAGAAAATGAGTTGGCTCCTTTTTTGCATTGTGGTGAGTAATTTTAGAAAATATGCACTGTAATGGTAAATAAACAAATCGATATAAATTTCTTGTAATCTGTACATAATTTTCTGAGAAGTATTGCTGGTTTACAGTGGCCAATTAACTGATGTTTGAGCCGGAAAGCTATATTTTCTTTTGTTGCACTCAACTGCATTCATTCATATGATTTCTCTTTTCTATTTATGGCAAGGATCTGTTGTTACATTGACATTTTCCCCTTTATCCACATGCCAGTCTTGAGGTGGTAGGACGAAATCACACTGTTGTATTATATGAATCATCTCTTATCTCATTTTGCATCTTTAATTCAGATATAAGCATATATCGTGCTCATTTGATTGCAGAAGTTTCATATGAACTCATAGCATATTTTGCTTTGTCTTATCAAATTCTTTCTCTTCACATCTGGTGAACGTTTTTTATTGGATTACTTTCTTCTATTACCCTATGTGAGGTTGTAAAATTTACTTCCTGGACCATGTCACGAACATATAGGTGCCCTTGCATTTTTGATTTTATTAATGATGAACTTTGATTGAAAGTTATGGCATTTCTATTCTACAGCCTTGAATTTCTCAACCAGAAGCGGCAGCAATCTCATGAAGTACCTCCTCAGAAAATGGTGGATTTAGCAAGACGCCTCGAAGAAGGTCTAGTTAAGAGTGCCAGTTCAAAGGTTTGTCATAGTTCAATCTTTATTTACAACATGCGTAACATAGCATTATGATATTTGACTTGAGTTTGAACTTTCAATATGACTTCCATTCTTTCCTATAATCACAGATTAGGAAATCTGCTGGCTTGTTAGAAAGTATCTTGAAAAGATTCTTATGCTATTGAAATAAATGATTGCCAACCGTGTAAATATTCTAATGTCTTATCTTTTATCTTGTTTTATAGGAGGAGTATCTGAATCAGTCAACCTTGGAAAGTCGTTTGCACTTTCTAATTAAAAGATCACCTATGAGTAATCAAAACCAGCAATTTTCACATGCTAATACTTCTGCTTCCATTGGAACAATGATTCCAACTCCCGGACTGATGCAAACTGCGAATTCAAGCCTTATAGGAACATCGGCTGTTGATAATTCTGTTATTGCCAACAATAATTCTAATATTACATCATCCGGCGTCAATTCTGGTGGCTTCATGTCAACTGGAAATGGGCCTTCTGGGAGCGTGCATGGTTGTTCTTTTAGTTCTCCTGATGGTACTCTCAAGTCTCGTGATATAATTTGTCTTTTTCTTACTGTCTTACTGAATATTCTTGACAGGAACATTATCTGGTGGATATCAACTGCCGTCATCCAGTTTTTCGATCAGTTCTGGTGGAAATAATATGCTGACATCCACGGGTGTACAAAGAATGGCAAGCCAAATGATTCCTACTCCTGGATTTAATAGTTCTAGTACTAATGATGTGGATAATAATGCTAATAATCAGTCTTTTATGAATATGGAATCCTCTAATAACGTTGGTGCATTTCAAACTGGTGAATCTGCAATTGTATCACAGCCCATGCAGCAAAAGCAGCATGTTGGTGGTCAAAACAGTCGTATATTGCATAATATTGGTGGCCATTTAGGTGGCGGAATTAGGTCTACGTTGCAGCAAAAGTCCTATGGAGTATCAAATGGCCCCTTAAATGGTGGGTTGGGGATGATGGGAAACAATATGATGAATGACACAGGAGCTTCTGAGGGCTATTTAACTGGAACACTGTATGGAAATCCCCCCAAACCCTTGCAACATCATTTTGATCAACATCAACGAACAGTAATACATGGTTCTCTCTCTCTCTAATTGTATTTTGATATTTTTGGTTTTGGATAAAAGAATTAGAAATTGATCTTTCAGTTGTCTTTTACTGGTATTCTCACTGCAAATAGCCCACTTGACAGGTGATGGGTATGGAATTGGTGGTTCTGAATCTGCAGGGTCTGGAAACTTGTATGCTTCACAGATGGTGAACAATCAGAGCTTAAATGCTGTATCTTTGCAGTCCATGCCAAAAGCAAACTCTCATTTGATGACCAATCAGTCGAATGTTCACTCTACTCAACAGGTGACGAGTATGAAGCCTCAATTAATTGACCAATCAGAAAAGATGAACTTTCAATCACAATACTCAGGGAGAGAGAATCTTGTAAATTCCCATCAACACCAACAATTTCATCAGTCATCTCATCAATTCCAGCGCCATCAACTCCAGCAAAAGCAGCAAAGTCAACAACACCAGCACTTATTGAAGAATGACATTTTTGCCCAGTCTCACTTGTTACCTAATACTGATTCTGAAGGGAAGCCTGATACAGAGCATCGTGATGAAGGTCTGCACTTCCAAGTCCCAGGGCCATTCCAATTTTCTGATATGCAGACTCAATTACCACAGAACCCTATGGAAACCCATTCAAGAGGTGCTCAGTTGCTCTCACATCCTTCGCTCTCACAGGATGCCTCTTCATCACTAACTCAAACTTCAGATCAGATGCAACAGTTGATGCATCCTGATCAGTTTGCTGCTAATCCAGAAAGTGATTTGAGCGGTATAGTTCAACCAGATACAGCACTTCAAGGTCAATGGTATCCCAACTCTCAGGATGGGTCTCATGTATTTGGGAGACTCCTGCTTGATCAAAATGTTCACGAGGATTCTCGTCAGGGTATAACTGGGCAAAATGTAGCTCAGCAGAACAATTTATCTTCAGAAGAATCCATTATTGGTCAATCTGATACTACCAAAGCAACAGAACCTCCAAATGTAAGTGGCACTGTGTGTAGATCCAATAACCTTAATCGTGAGCGACAGTTCAAGAATCAACAGAGATGGCTGTTATTTTTACGCCATGCTCGTCGATGTCCAGCTCCAGAAGGGAAATGTCAAGATCCCAACTGCTTAACGGCACAAAATTTGTTGAAACATATGGAAAAATGCAACGCATTTCAATGTGCATATCCACGTTGCCGCGCCACAAAGGTTTTAATCAATCATCACAGGCGCTGTAAGGATGCAAGTTGTCCTGTTTGCGTTCCTGTTAAGAATTTTGTGCAGGCACAATTAAAAGCATTTGCTCGTTCTGATATCAATTCCGGCCCACCAAATCCGGTCAATGGATCCTGTAAATCCTTCGATACCGCTGAAATTGCTGGTAGGTTGACTCCGAAGACAAACCCAACAGTAGCTGAAACTCCAGAAGATTTACAGCCTTCTATTAAACGCATGAAGACCGAACCAGCCTCAGGATCTCTAGTATCTGAAAGTGAAAGTTCTGTTGTACCAGATGCTTCCACAAATGGACCTCATCCCCTTCCAAATGTACATCAAGCTGAACAACACCATGACTCTTGCATGCCAACAAAACCTGAAGTAACAGAAGTAAAGATTGAGGTTCTTACAAGCATTGGACAAGGCAGTTCGAAGAGTTTTGAGATGAAAAATGATAAGTTGGACAATTTCTACAACCAAAGGCCTGATGATGATCAAAACACGCAGAAAAATTCTGATGGCTTTGATTTTAAAGATGGCATTACAATTGAGAAGGAATTAGACCAGGATAAACAAGTAAATACATCATTACCTGCTGAAACAGTGTCAAAGTCTGGGAAGCCAACTATAAAAGGAGTCTCGATGATGGAGCTGTTCACCCCTGAACAAGTTCGGGAGCACATTAGAGGTTTGAGACAGTGGGTTGGACAGGTCAGTCTATTTTATGTGTTTGTGTTACCTTATTGATGAGGCAATTATATATCTTGATATTCTCAGTTAGAAATTTGCTGTAACATTCACATATGCTACATTTTTGTATTTCACTAATTGCTGGGAAGATCTTTACATGCTTAGATGTTTGTTGAAATACTGTTAACATGTAAAACCATCTTTCTTCAAGAAAAAATATCACGATTGTACAATCTAAATTTATACTTAGCTGCCAAAGATATGATAAGTTAGTAGACTGATAAGGCACGTATTATTTTTTCTTCCAATCTGGAAAATTTATTGGATGGTCATTCTAATTGAAAACTTGATGTTAGGCAGCATTATTTTTGTATACAGTTAAAACAAACATTTTACAACGTTGTTCCCCTCGGTCTTGGTGTAGTTATAATTTATTCTTGCATGATAATCTAGCAGGTTTCTCTTTTACATATTGCTTAGAATATTTCACTTTTCTACACATTTTGTGTGACCCACACAGTGGCGGAGCTAGGAAAAGACTAAAAAAATCAATGAACTCGTGCCATGAGAGATGCTCCATGCTACATCAGATATGGTTTAAAAAGCTAAACTTATGACACCGATGACAAAGTGAGTCAGATATTCAAATAAGTATAAACATATCAATAATTAAGATGTATTACTAAATCTTCGTAGCTTTTCTTGCCAAATAAAAAATCTTGACACCTCCCTAGAAATATAAAATGTGCGAAAGCACGATAGACATGAACAAATGATATATACCTACCAATAAAAAATTATGAAAAACCTATTTGTACTATTACGAGAGTCAAGGCCTAAAAAGAATAAGTCATTCCAGCTATTAAAAGTTTTTAGTCAAATACACCATTACTGGAAATAATAACTAATATGGGCATTGGTCTTCTATATCAAAACATTTTAATTCCACCTGAAGTGGGACAAACTGATCAAGAATATTGAGAGTTCAAAGAAATTGGAATTATTTCGCTTTCATGTTTGACTCACTTCAATAATATAATTTTAATAATATTAATTTATAAATAAATAAATTTTTAAGAAATATTATTTCTACTGATCAAATTAAATATAGAGCAAGTTACCTATTTTGATAATAATATCTATTTCATGGTGAATAAGTATTTTTTAACTTATAAGTATAATTAATAAATGAAACATACAAAAAATTAAATTTTATTTACTTTTAAGATTTTCAGTATTTTTTTTGGTCCCTCACTATATGTTATTTGTATGATTAGTTTCATAAGATAATTTTCTTGCTCATAAGCCTACTAACATAGATATGCTTTCTGATGTGAAGAGATTAAAACATCAATTAATCCAATTCTATCCTTTTGTTTGGGCTTAATTTCATCGAACTATTGCAGCAAAAATAAGGTTGTTCTTTGCCTTTCACCTACGATTTTAAATTTTGAAAGAAGTTCTATTATTTTGAGCAAGAGATTTGGAAGTGGGCAAATATTAGAGAATGTGGATACTGGGCTAATTCTAAATTTGGGCCACAATATAACTTTTTTAGGAAAACGTTACAAAGCAAAATAGGATCTGGGCAAAGGTTGCACTGGGCCCATATCTGCCTCTGGACCCACAAGTACTACCCCTTTTCTACCATTCATTTCTATCCATTTATAATTTAAACTTTTTACAAATACTCCCCAAACAAGCTTTGAATTAAATAAGGGATTGACTCCATCTCTTACACAGTTCATCTCATGCGTACTGTTGGCAACCCAATTTAGTTGGTTGATTGAAATTGAGTCAGGAACTTGTTAAGCAAGTTATATACTCTGAGACAGACAGTTATCCACTTCTACTTATAAATTGCTGAGCAGTGCCCATATTTTGTTCTTTTGGTGGGTTCTCTTTTCTTTTGTATTGTATATTTGGGTAGGATATAGCAATTCCTGGATTTGATCTCGGAGATTTATTTTCTGCAAACTGTTCAAGGGGTTAAATTCCTTATCATGTGTTCTTCATGTGTGTGATTAAGTATTCTCTGCTAATGCATTCTAAATTTTCATTTTCTTTTACAGAGCAAAGCAAAAGCAGAAAAAAATCAAGCAATGGAGCGTACAATGAGTGAGAATTCTTGCCAGTTGTGTGCAGTTGAGAGGCTTACCTTTGAACCACCACCAATATATTGTACACCTTGTGGTGCCCGTGTTAAAAGAAATGCAATGTACTATACCATTGGAGCTGGTGATACTCGTCAATACTTCTGCATACGCTGCTATAACGAGGCCCGTGGAGATACCATTGTAGTTGATGCAACTTCTATTCCAAAGGCAAGGATGGAGAAGAAGAAAAATGACGAGGAAACTGAAGAATGGGTATGTATATCCACCTACTAAATTAGTTTTTATGCACATGAGAATAGTAGCCTAAGATATCGCCCATCTGTTTCATTGCAGTGGGTACAATGTGATAAGTGTGAAGCTTGGCAACATCAAATATGTGCATTATTTAACGGTAGAAGGAATGATGGTGGACAAGCTGACTACACTTGTCCAAATTGTTACATAGAGGAAGTTGAAAGAGGAGAACGTATGCCATTACCACAGAGTGCTGTTCTTGGGGCAAAAGATTTGCCTAGAACCATTTTGAGTGATCATATTGAGCAGCGATTGTTTAGACGGCTGAAGCTAGAAAGACAGGAAAGAGCAAGGCTTCAAGGAAAAAGTTATGATGAGGTGATTCAGTTGACCTGCTATGTATATGCAGTAGTGGTTGATGTTCTTTCTTTTTCTATGATCTGAGGTGATGCTATACATACTAAGTTATTTGCTTTGTGTGTCCCTGTTCAATATTCGGATTTATATTTTATCCTACTTTTGAGCAGCCTAAGGATATCAATAAATATAGATAATATTTTAACCAGTGTAGATTTTGATGCTGTAGTTCCAAAAATATTCAATGTCTCGTCTGTAAATTTGAGGGTAAAGAACCTTTCAGCAGTAATGAGCAATTATGGTGCAGAACCGGAATTGAAATTCTTGAAACAAGAATAAAGTTGAAAATCTCGAAAATATATAGAGAATAACTTGATTATAATGAACTGGTTATTGAAAATTTGAAATAATTACAAAGCCTTGGTCTATAGGCAAAATAATCTCCTAATCCTAATAGCTGAAGGAAGATAAGTAATTAAAACCTAAAAGTATAAAAAGTCTTAATCTAAACAAGAAGTAAAATCCTATTACATGAAGAAATAATTCCATGTCTTATTTCTGATAGAATTTTCCTGCATCAAATTACATGATTTTTTTGTTTTTCAACTTAAATTATTGCTTATTTGAGTAAAGCCTTTAGCTTTTGGAATTCCAGACTTCAATCATTCTTCATGTTGAAAAATTATATTCCAATTTATTGATAGGCCCCCGACTCAATTCACGTATGCAAGGAGAAATGGGAGGAAGGCCAGGTCAGCTGCAGGTCCACGTGAGGAGGGAGGGCAGTCTGTTGGATAGTTCAATTAGTTAGAAAGTTGTTAGGAGAGGTGTTAATAAAAAGAGGGAGGGAGGGAACCTGTTGGGTACGTTTTTACTTTGAATTTTGGGGATCAATTAGGAGAGATCAGGCCTCTCGAATAGCCTGAATCTTGTCAACTTCATTTCCACTTTGAATAATATACTTAATTTCTGTGTTTTGGTTCTTTCATCGTGTGAGGTTCTATCAAATTGGTATCAGAGCTTCTCAATTTTGGGAAGATGACGTTAAACGACCGAATGAGCACCTTAGAGGAGAGGTTTGATGGTGTGCAGCAGGAACTACATGAAGGACTGGAAACCATCAAAGGGGAGATTCAAAATGACATATCAGGGCTGAAGGAAAAGTTCGAGTTGCTGCTGAGTAAGTGGGAAGGGCAGGCGCACGACGAAAAAGAAAAAGGGGTGGCCGGCAGTTCTAGTATGGCTGCACCGACTGTAGAATCACCATCAAATTATGAGGAACCAGATTAGCCCAACAAGGACCTGGAGGATAAGGGGCGAATGGATGGTCGTAGCAGAAGGTTAGAAATGCCAGTCTTCCATGGTGAAAATCCAGATGGGTAGCTCTTCAAGGTGGAAAGGTATTTTAGCATAGACCGTTTCTCGAATTGGGAGAAAATCGAAGCGGCGGCCGTGTCTTTTGAAGGGGAGGTGTTGGCGTGGTACCAATGGGAAGACGGCCGACAGACTTTCTGGAGGTGGGAAGATCTGAAGGCTGCCCTGCTGTTGCGTTTTTGGCCTTCACAAGAGGGTACGAACCTGGAAAAATTTCTGGCACTTAGACAAGAAGGGACGGTGAGAGATTACAGGCAGATGTTTGAGGTCCTAGCAGCTCCGTTAACCACCGTGCCTGAAGACGTTCTGGAAGGTAACTTCATTAACGGGCTGAAGCCTTTAATTCGGGCAGAGGTAAGGCTGCTAAAACCTCGTGGGCTGGATCGTCTTATGGAGCTGGCCCAACGAGTAGAGGATCGAAATAAACTGGTGAAACAGGCCAAGGATCCTACGGCCCGGGTAAAATGAGGAACACCTCTTACAACCCAAGTCCGGATTATGGCCCGTCTAAGCCTCTTAATCTAACCCATTCCGGAAACTTCTCCCAAAATCATGTAGCTCAGCTCAACACGAGACTGATTCCCTCCAGTCCCCGAAATCTGATGGTGGGAAAAGCAGCGTCGTCCTTCAAGAAGCTCTCGGACGCCGAGCTGCAGCTAAAGAGAGAATGGGGCTTGTGTTACCGCTGTGATGAGAAGTTCCAACCGGGCACAAGTGCCGAAACAAGGAACTGCACGTCCTTGTCGTACAAGGAGAAGAAGAAGGAGAAGAGCTGGGGGATTTTCATGTGGACGAAGGCAAAATAGAGGTAGGAGAAGTGGTGGAGCTATCTATTAATTCAGTAGTGGGGTTGGATGCTCCTAAATCCATGAAGTTGAAGGGGACAATTTGTGGGCACTCAGTGATTGTTCTCATTGATTGTGGAGCTACTCACAACTTCATATCTGTTGATTTGGCGGCACAATTGCAGATTCCGACGGTCCCCACTCATGGGTACGAGATTATTATGGGCACCGGTTCAGCAGTTAGAGGATGTGGTGTTTGTAAGGGTGTGGTAGTTTCCAAGCATTGAAGTAGTAGATGATTTCCTGCCTCTGAAGTTGGGATGCACTAATGTAATTTTGGGTATGAAATGGTTGGAAACCTTGGGAAAAATGCAAGTAGACTGGGGTAATCTGACAATGAAGATCAAAGTGGGTGGGCAAGTTGTGACCCTGCAGGGGGATGTTAGCTTACAGAAAACACATGTTTCAGTCAAGGCCATGGTCAAGGCTTTTAGGGAGGGTGATCAGGGAGTCTTAATTGAGCTGGGCAGTTTGGGGGTGGAAGGAGAAGAATCAGATGGAAAAAGTCTCAGTAGTTTTACCTAATTACTACAGCAATATGGAGTGGTCTTTGAGTGGCCGAATACACTTCCCCCGTCACGGTCCAGAGATCACAGTATTGTTCTACAAGCAGAATCTGCCCCCGTGAATGTTAGGCCCTATTGTTACCCACATTTTCAGAAAAAATGAGATCGAAAGGTGAAGGAGATGCTTGCAGCCGAGATAATTCAACCGAGTAGCAGCCCGTTTTCCAGTCCTGTTCTGTTAGTAAAGAAAAAAGATGGCAGTTGGCGATTTTGCGTAGATTATCGGGCGTTGAATAAGGTTACAGTTCCAGACAGATTTCCAATCCCGATTATAGATGAGTTATTAGATGAGCTTCATGGGGCAGCTATATTTTCGAAGTTAGATATGAAATTAGGCTACCACCAGATCAGAATGAAGCCGGATGACATCCCGAAAACAGCCTTTCGAACACATGAGGGTCACTACGAATTTTTAAGAAGGGAACCAGGGTTGCAATTTTTATCTGTTTCCACCCCCAAGTTGCTGCCATTAGAGGACATTAAAAAGGCAGTGTCGGAGGACAACGAACTGAAGGAGATACTGAAAGAAATTCAGGCAGAGCATGGGTCCAAACCGGGGTATTCTATGATTGGTGGAATGTTGTGCTACAAGGGCAGGATTGTGCTACCCAAGCTATCTCCGCTAACTGAAGTTATGTTGCTTGAGTGTCACAACACGAGAATAGGAGGGCATTTGGGGTTCCTTAAAACTTACAAAAGGATTGCACGGGAAGTTTATTGGACGGGTATGAAGAAAGATGTTCAGGACTTTGTAGCACGTTGCCCAGTATGTCAGCAGAATAAATACATTGCTTTATCCCCTGGCGGTCTTCTCCAACCACTCCCAATACCAGAACTGATATGGGCGGATGTCTCCATGGACTTCATTGAAGGGTTGCCGAAGGCCAGGGGGTATGATACTATAATGGTCGTAGTGGACAGGTTAAGCAAGTATGGACATTTTATTGGGATAAAGCATCCGTTTACTGCCCCTATTATTGCTAATATTTTTATCCCCGAGATTGTCCGTTTGCACAGGGTCCCTCAGTCAATTGTGTCGGATCGAGATAAAATCTTTATGAGTAAATTTTGGGAAGGGCTGTTTAAGGCGCAAGGGACCGTCCTTAAGAGAAGTGCAGCTTACCATCCACAAACGGATGGCCAAACTGAAGTGGTCAATCGATGCTTAGAGACTTATTTGCGTTGCTTCGCTTCTAGCAAACCACATACCTGGAATCAGTGGCTACCTTGGGTAGAGTTTTGGTATAACACTTCTTTTCACACAGCTACTAAACATACCCCCTTTCAGATTGTATATGGCAGGGAGCCGCCTCCAATTCTTCCTTTTGAAAAGGGTAGTACAGCGGTCTCCACTGTTGAACAACAATTATTGGCGAGGGATGAAGTGTTACAGGTTCTGAAGTTGCATCTGGCTCGTGCACAACAGCGTATGAAATTGGAGGCTGATGGGCATCGTCGCGACCTTCAGTTTGAGGCGGGAGAACTGGTATACCTGAAACTGCGTCCATACCGTCAAAAATCTGTGGCTCACCGACTTTCAGCTAAACTATCTCCAAGATACTTCGGGCCATTTGAAATCGAGGCTAAGGTAGGACAGGTTGCTTACAAGTTGAAACTTCCCCCTGAGGCTATCATTCACCCAGTTTTCCATGTATCACAACTTAGAAAGGCTGCAGGGGCTTAACAGCCCGTCCATCAACTTGCCCCACTGTTGGCTACAGGTGACCAGTTTATCGTGGAGCCAAAATCAGTGCTACAGATCAGACCAAATCCCTCCAATCCTGCTTTGGGTCTTGAAGTGCTAATCAAGTGGAAGGGTTCACCAGAGTTTGAGGCCGCATGGGAACTTTTTGACAGCATCCGCCACCAGTTCCCGGCTTTCCACCTTGAGGACAAGGTGGATTTTAAGGGCGGGGGTATTGATAGGCCCCCGATTCAATTCACGTATGCAAGGAGGAATGGGAGGAAGGCCAGGTCAGCTGTAGGTCCACGTGAGGAGGGAGGGCAGTCTGTTGGATAGTTCAATTAGTTAGAAAGTTGTTAGGAGAGGTGTTAATAAAAAGGGGGAGGGAGGGAACCTGTTGGGTACGTTTTTACTCTGAATTTTGGGGATCAATTAGGAGAGATCAGGCCTCTCGAATAGCCTGAATCTTGTCAACTTCATTTCCACTTTGAATAATATACTTAATTTCTGTGTTTTGGTTCTTTCATCTTGTGAGGTTCTATCATTTATCTGGTTAGAATAAGAAATTTATATAGACTTCAGTTGTACCAATGATAAAAATATCTTTTTAGGAATGTAATTTTGTTAGGATGCCTTTTGATTTGACGTTTAGATCTAATTACTCTTTTATGCATTTAACATTTCATATTAGTTACCAAAGTGAACTTCATAAAAGTTGTTGTAGTTTATGCATTGAGGTTCTCTAGAAATCGTTTTCCCCTGGCTTAACCTTCATTTGGGGCTACTTATACATGTAACTCATCTGAATCCTCATTTTTAAGATCACGTGCTCATTTTTTTTTCTTTGTGTGGAATTGCATACCAAGTTTCACTGGGCTGAGCATATCTTTTTGTTTTATTTATTTCTTATGCCATATTAATTCACCTGGGATAACTATTTTGCATTCCTACTGATATTATTACTACTGCTTTTATTACGTGTGTACTCTTCGTGTTCCTGGGTTTGAGATTTTTATTATGTTGATTTTGTCAGGTTCCAGGAGCAGAATCACTTGTTGTTAGAGTTGTTTCATCAGTGGACAAAAAGTTGGAAGTTAAACCGCGGTTTCTTGAAATTTTTCAAGAGGAAAATTATCCATCAGAGTTCCCATATAAATCTAAGGTGTTGCACATGGAGTCCTGAATTTAGTTAAAGAATGCCCATAAGTGATTTAGATTCCTGATTTAAGTTCATTTATTTTAATTATATTATGTTGTGGAGTTTGGAAGAAACGTGGTCTGAATAAATTCATATCTATATGCTTTTCCCTTACTTTTGGTAGTATTGTCTTAACTTTAAGCCTTTTCAGTGTTTTTTAGGGGGAGAGCAGGGAGGTAGATTGAGAGAGTGGATATCTGTTGTAGAATACTGGAAACAGCCACTACTGTTAAAAAATGAACTGAGTGTCTCTCTGTGGTTAGAGAGGCAGGTGGGAAGATCTTCGTTGCAACGTGTATCTGTCCAATGTTATTGAAAACACTTACGAACAGTAGTTTGATATATCTTTTCAATCAGAAGGCACAGGGCACTTGTGTTTCATAAGATTATCATCTTTATTGTGCTTTCACGTGCCCTTAGTTAACTTTTCAGATTATTAACTTAAAGTTTAATCTTCCAGGTGGTGTTATTATTTCAAAAAATTGAAGGAGTTGAAGTATGCCTTTTTGGCATGTATCTTCAAGAATTTGGATCAGAATGTCTGCAGCCAAATAACCGCCGAGTCTATCTTTCGTATCTAGATTCTGTCAAGTACTTCAGGCCAGAGGTCAAAGCAGTGACGGGAGAGGCTCTTCGTACATTTGTGTACCATGAAATTTTGGCAAGTTTCTGACTTCATTAGCTCTTATCTGTCTTTGTTCACTCATTCCTCTAGGAAGTTTCTTTTTGCCATTCATTGTATCGCCAATCTCGATGATATTCCTATTATGTTTCCAGATTGGATATTTAGAGTACTGTAAGTTGCGCGGATTCACAAGCTGCTACATATGGGCTTGCCCACCATTGAAGGGTGAAGACTATATTTTATATTGCCACCCAGAAATTCAGAAGACACCAAAATCTGATAAACTCAGGGAGTGGTAAGATTGACAGCTATCTGACAAGAGGCACTTTTTAGTATGCACTATGAGGAGCATGCTAATGCTTTTTGACGTTTTTAGTTTTGACTTAGATTATATCTCCAATTTCAGGTACTTGTCCATGTTAAGAAAAGCCGCAAAGGAAAATATCGTTGTTGAGCTTACTAATCTATACGATCATTTCTTTGTATCTAATGGTGAATGTAAGGCAAAGGTGACTGCAGCTCGTTTGCCATACTTTGATGGAGATTATTGGCCGGGTGCTGCAGAGGACATGATCTATCAACTACAACAAGAGGAGGATGGAAGAAAACAGCATAAGAAGGAAACCATTAAAAAGACCATTACAAAAAGAGCTTTGAAGGCATCTGGCCAAACTGATCTCTCTGGGAATGCATCAAAGGACCTGATGTTGATGCATAAAGTAATTCTATTGTCCAAACTTTCTTTCTTACATTAGTCCTCTTCCTCATTTTGAGTTTCTATAGTAATACTTATATTGGTCCTCTTTCATGTTTAAAATTTCTGCGGGTAATAAATATGTTTTGGACATTAATAAAATAAATAGATAGTATCTTTAATTTTTAAATCGCAAGCCATTTCTGGAACTTCCCTTTTGGTTCTCAGGAAAATCTTTGTTTTGTAGCTTGGTGAGACAATTAGTCCAATGAAAGAGGATTTTATCATGGTTCACTTGCAGCATGCATGTACACATTGCTGTATTCTCATGGTGTCCGGAAATCGTTGGGATTGCCAACAGTGCAAAAATTTTCAGCTTTGTGACCAGTAAGGATTCAGCTTACTTTTGACTAAGAGTTAGAAAGTTATGTTTTCTTGTATAGAATCTATTTCCTGTATTATTCATAGTGCTATCCATCTTCTATTGCCACAGCTATTACAGTACGAGATATTCATTTGTTGGGTTTTGGGGGTCTTTCCATTTTCCAACCCCCCCCCCCCCCCCCCCCCCCCCCCCCCCCCCATCCCCTCCTTCTCATGATGGATGGAGAGTGGTAAAATGACAGAATGGTTTTCAAATGTGACAAATTGAAAAGAATAAGTGGTTTAAATATAACATAATGCGTATTAGGATTCATGTCATAATATGTGACAAAGTTTACTACTGTAAACCTACTGCAACTCTCTATCTTTACCCTGGGCGTGGGACTGGCTATGAAAAATTTGACGAAATTGATATTTCTTCATATATCCTTGAGAAAATTACATTTTTTTGTCATTGTTTAATGCTCTCATGAACCACTAGTCTACCTGCTATTCTGTTACCAAGGAGTAAGGTTGTTAGAATAAAGAACGTTTATGAGGGGCTTGACTAATTTGAAGGTTGGATTTGAATTCATTGAAGAAGGTAAAAATAGTTGACATCAAAATGTAATTGAATTATAATGATGATTTCCTGCAACTAATCCAGCCACTGAGGGAGAACAAGATGATTGACTGCAAAATCAATGTATTTCTGTATATGAAAGCAAGATCTGTATTTGGTATAAATGTGAACTGGAATTCTAATATTCTACTGGTTTAGTTTCTGTGTTCTTCTACCAAATCAGAATTAAGGTATTTTACCAACCTAACTACCAATATATATTATGTGTCAGAATTACTTGCTGCAAACAGTATTTTACAGTCATCTGGTATGCCTTGATTTCTAATTAACAACAAATGCTTTATTGTTCATTATAATGTTGGCTCATTTCATGCAGTGATTAAATGTTTGTAAATCAGCACCTGATATGTATCTGATACATATGTGTGTACTTAAGTATTAGCAAGTATATATGATGATGTTTATGTTCCTATAAATATACCCATGCGTAGATGTTGATTAATACTTGCTTGGAGTCGATATTTATTTGTTACCTGAGAAATACAATATGGGTTCATTTTAATCCTGAGTTCTAATCAAGTTTACTTGATCTTTTAAAAAGAGCCATTTTCAAGGAAGTAAGATATATATGTTTTTTACAAGAGTAAATGTTTAGTTATCGCGAATGGAATTTACTTATTTTTATAAAACTCCTTTTTGACATATGATTCTACCATTCTTTGCTAGACTGTAACATTATTTTTAAAGCAATTGAAATTACTGGAGGAAAGTGGTTCGCTGGCACTTGATCAGTTAAATTCACAACTCTCATCTAGTTGGTGTGGAATTTGATTCATTCTTACCGACTGTAGCCTTATGCTCCAGGAGTCTCTGCTCCCTAGATATATGCAATCTTCTAAAATGTTATGTATTTACTATACCTATATACCAATGTGTAGTTGGTTGTGGCTTCTTTGGAAGCTGGTGCTGGTTTTGAGTTTCCCTTTCTATAGATTGCTATAGATATTTATCCTTCGACCCCAATGAGTCCAGCTAGACATTCCCAACGATGTTTCAGTATAGTAGCACTCTGTAAAGTCCGCTGGTAATTGAAAGCACCCTTGCATTCTAATGCTTTTCTCTTACAGTTGCTATGAAGCTGAACAAAAACGTGAGGACAGAGAGAGACATCCTATCTATCAAAAGGACAAGCATGTCCTTTATCCAGTAAGTTCTATGGGATTATTGTATTCACCGATGTGGTTTTTATGAGCTTCTGTGTTTAGTGTGCATTCTTCATGGATTTAGTTTAGTTTTTGGATTGAGAAATTGGTAAATGTTCAGGTTGAAATCACTGATGTTACGAGTGATACCAAAGATAAAGATGAGATTCTGGAGAGTGAATTCTTTGATACGAGACAGGCATTTCTCAGCCTTTGTCAAGGAAACCACTATCAATATGATACCCTTCGCCGTGCTAAGCATTCCTCAATGATGGTTCTTTACCATCTACACAATCCCACAGCGCCGGCTTTTGTAATAACATGCAATGTATGCCACCTTGATATAGATGCTGGTCAAGGTTGGCATTGTGAGACATGCCCAGATTATGATGTATGCAATGCTTGTTATCAGAAAGATGGTGGAATTGATCATCCTCATAAGTTAACAAATCATACATCCAATGATCGTGATGCACAAAATAAAGAAGCCAGACAGATGCGAGTTATGCAGGTATGCTGTTCTCTCTCTTCTTTTTCGGGCATTGCACGTCATTCTGCTGCTTTTATGTTCTTTTGCATTTTGAGTTCTGTGTGTCTTTTTGTTTTGAGGTAATTAGAGAATTTAATGCACCTTATAGATGACATGTCCACAGGACATTTAGGTGGGATGGAATGCTCTGCAAAAATAATTGGGCGAAGCTAATATAACTGGATGAACATCTTTAGTAATTAGGAAGGGGCATGAAATGCTCCGCATCAAAATAATTGATGAATATTCAAAAAAGAAAAAAAAGAAAAAAAAAAAAAAAAAAAAAAAAAAAAAAAAAAAAAAAAAAAAATTGTCTTCTCCCAATAAATATGAATGGTAATAAGATTCTGAAACTGGAATGAACATCATCAATGAATATCGAAACTTCAGCTTGTCTACTCCAAACAGGAAGCTAAGCAAAAAAAAAAGACTAGTAGTTCATGCTGATTTGTCCGCTAGGGGTACAGGAACAATCATGATGTGATGTTCAAGTGAATGCTTCATTTGCTTAGAAGATGACACAGGAACTTAGTAATTTGTTAACAAATAAGAAAAGAAAGTGGGCCAAAAAAGAGAAGAATTGAGGGCAAAAGAAAATCAATTTTTATGCATATAATCAAGGGTATATAGTACATTGAATAAGCCTCTATTTATATAGCAAATAATCTAAAATTAATAGAACTAATAATAAGCTATAACTTTATTGAAATATTAAAATTAATCTAATCTAGTTAAAACATATTTAAATTAAACTCTAATTTAAAATCCTATCTAACCTTTGCCTTTATTCTTATCTTTATATCCATCATTTCTCCCCGATTGAGAGGACTTTGATGAAATAGACTAAACTTCATAATACAAGAAGGTCAATCTTTTGTCTTAACCGAATGTTGGTATTGAACCCTTGACAACAACATATTGATGAACTTATCTCAAGGGGGACGATCTTTCTTATGAACCAACTACTGTAACTGGTATCTTAATGACAATTGAAGCTGCAAATCATCTCCAAAATTATGATCTCTCCAAACTGATCTCTTTTCTTCACGGAAATATATTTTGGGATTTTTTCATAGAAACTAAATTACAAATACTAATTTCTACTTTTCTTTATTTTTAATTTTTATTTTGGAACTAAATGTGAAAAGGAAAAAAGGGAACAACTGCTGCTGCTTGGATATACTGCTCTTGAGTTTGTGTATGATGGTAACTTTGTTACTTGTTTGTATTGGGTGGGTGGTTGGTTAAGGTTTGTGGATTTTAGAATGAAAGAGATCAAAGGACGACGACTTGTTCTAATACCAAATTGATGCACGACGGTAGTAATTTGTTAACTAACAAGAAAAGGGGGTGGGGGTGGGGTGAAGAAGTGAAGAATTGAGGGCAAAAGAGGATCAATTTTTTTTCATATTATCAAGGGTATCTATTACATTGAACAAGCCCTATATTTATAAAGCAAATAATCTAAAACTAAGGGTGTTGTTTGACTGGCTTTATTTTTTGTGGAAACCATTTTTCATCCATTTCCTACTTTGGGACATATGATTGACATTTTTTATGAAAAATATTTTTCAAAAGTTGGTCACATGATCATGCTTTTCTTAAAAACAAGTACAATATTTTCTTTACAGGGGGTAGGTTTTTATTTTCTAAATAATTCACACTAACTTCATGGAAAAGTATAACATTTTATAAGTTGAAAAATAAATCAATCAAATGTATTTAATTGACAATTTTCGTGCAAATAAGTTTTAGGCAATGCAATTGCCTTGAACTTTTCTTTATATGCAAGTTTCATGCTTGCAATCACACACACCTCAATAGAATTTTTAATAAGCTAGAACTTTAGCGTTCTATTAAAACTAATAAACTAATCTAATCTAATTAAAAAGAAACATACTTTGAATTAAACTCTTATTAAAAATCCTATCTAAACTCATCCTTATCTCTGTCATAAGGTCACTCATATTTGATGTGTTAGTTTCTTATATAGTCAACAAGAGTAACACACTGAGCTTGGAATTTCTTGATGGAGATCTTGTGACGCAACTGTCTCTTTGATTTGCAGCTTAGGAAAATGCTCGATCTCTTGGTACATGCTTCTCAGTGTCGTTCCCCACATTGCCAATATCTAAACTGTCGCAAGGTTAAGGGACTTTTCCGCCATGGTATGCTGTGCAAAATACGTGCTTCTGGAGGTTGTGTTCTTTGTAAGAAAATGTGGTATCTCCTTCAGCTTCATGCTCGAGCATGCAAAGAATCTGAATGCACTGTACCACGCTGCAGGTTTGTTCTCCCAATTCCTACAGCCCTTCTCTTGTTCTTGTTCTTCTTCTTTTTACCGTACTGGAAAATTGATTTTGTATAGAAATAATGTTATGAAACTACATTTATTTGATGCAGAGATTTGAAGGAACACATGAGACGGCTGCAGCAACAGTCTGATTCCCGACGAAGGGCTGCTGTAATGGAAATGATGAGGCAGCGTGCTGCAGAGGTTGCTACCAATTCTTGACGATGTTCTAGTTGTTTTTTGTTGTTGTATATATACACTAGTCACAACATTTTGAAGATGCTATTTCTAAGCCAGGTAGATAATTTATTAGTTATAAACTGGGGTGCCTAATGGGTAGAAAATTTGACGTCAAACTCCACAGCAAAATACTTTGCGGGAGTTCCTATTCATTCACAATTCTAAAGATAAGCTTGATGGGGAAGTTATAGATCAGGGACTGCTGGCTTCTGCAACGACTGACTCTTTATTTGAAGAACAGATTTCTAGAAGTGTGAGTTATGGCAGCAATTTTTTGATTTTTATGTTGTATTTTATCTCTTGCTCGCATTTGATGGCAAGTGTGTGTACCACAGCTTTTGAGATTGTTTACAAATACATAATTTTTTTCGATTTTCCTTTGGCATTTTTGTTCTCCTTTTGTAACCCTCAAAATTGTACTTCCTGTAGATGGAAACTTTAAATGTTTCTTTTGTGCTAAATTGTCATCCTTAGTACTGATATATGGTGCGTTTTGTCACGTTGGTTTTTGTTAACTTTTGTTTCTTCATTAATTTTTTGTTAATAAATTGGAAAAGTTTTCTAATTAGTACAGGGTTAACTTCACGAATGTAACTGAAATTTGCACGTAGCGTTTCACCTTGGCCAATGAACATTGTGAACCTTACAAAATGTTCTATTCGAGCTACCGATTCAGTTTGATGTTCGTTTTATGATTGAACCTTCTACATGTTCGTGTCCCAAGTTGTAAGATTTTACTGGAAATCCTTTGATGACTTGGCAAACAAATTCGTACAATTTCAGTAAAATCGTACACTAATGGCCGTCAGTCAAAGTAGCCAATTAGTAGATGAATTGAAGTATGCTGCTTCACACTGAAATGGAGTACAGAGTTGGATTAAATTATGGGATTACAGAGTTAAAAGCATAAATCAAATATCCTAATATTGAGTAGGAATAACCAATAAAGTCAAATTTGTGCCAAAGATAGAAGAAAAACACTAGTTGGGACCTTCGAAAACCGTGACAAAAACTAGGTGACATTTGAGTTGGTAGTGGGATCTCTCTTTTCTGACTCTTCTTCGTGAAATGCTTTGAAGCAGCTTTCAATACCTTTGCCCATCGCTGAACAAATACATATTTCATTGAGACTTGAAAGGCATCAAGAAGTTTCTAAACCAATGAGAAAAGAAGTTATTTCAAAGTGGTTTTTAAGTTTATAAGTGCTTGGCTAAACTTAGAATTCACTTTTAAATAGATGATCATTCGGGATTAAAGAAGTACCTTTCTTGGTGTTCTGGAAGTGGGAGTGAGCAGATGAGAAGGAGGGATTGAAGAAAACTCCATAGATCTCCTCTTTCTCTTCTTCATGTTTTGGTACCTGAGAAGATTATCAAATACAGCATTTGTGAACTTCCTTACTTGGCTGTAATTTTCTTCGCATTGTTCAGCAATCCATCTTCCTCGTATGATAATTTCATCAGACCCCACAGCTTACTCTGGTTTCTTTATCGGAATGTAAGGGCGGAGGGAGCAAGGGGGACCAAATAGTCCTCCGGGCGTAGTCAAAATCGAAAGTGAAATTGTCGGGGAACTTATAGAGAAGCTCTCTTGACATGGACAATCTGCGGGACTATTTTGGACAGGGAGGACTACGTGACAAAGAAGAATTGTTCAACTATAGACACTCCTCGTGCCGTAACATTATTGAACGTTGTATCGGAGTTTTAAAGACAAGATTTCGTATTTTAACGTTGATTACCAATTATTCACTCAGTAGGTAAAGACAAATTCCTACTGCATGTTGCGCAATAAACAACTTTATTCGTCAAGAGCACGCTTTAGATAAGTTGTTCGTAGAATATTCAGAGAAGAATATGGTATTTCAAAACATATTGGAGTCAAGTCAAGATAAAAAAGTCATACATTTTGATGTTAGTCAAACAACTCAAATGGGACAAGTTAGGGATCAAATTACTACACAAATATGGAATGACTACTTAAGACATCGTACATGATTTCGTGGATGTAGTTTAAATTTTGTTTAGTGTCTTTTTGTTTTGCTATGACACGTAAACTTCTAATAATATCTATTGAACCGTGTTGCCAAATTTAATTTAGGTTGTATTTTTTATCCGTCAAAAAATATTTCAAGATTCACCAACTTTAAAATTTATATGTTATTTAATACTATATTAACATTAAACTATTAAAATTTATTGAATAATCATATTTCTTGAATAAAATATTATTAAAAAATATTTTCAAAATTTTAAAGTAAACGCGTTTTTCAGTTTCATGTTTTCAAAATTAGTTTTTCAGAATGACAAAGAGAACGTATATTCAACAATTTAAAAATATGTACTTAAAACACAAAACTCAAAATGAATTCAAAATTCAAAATTCAAAACTACAAAACTGAAACTTGAAGAGGACAGCCCCTAAGCTATTGAGAAGTGATTTGGAGATTGAGAAATTGGGTGGGGAAGTTACAAGTGTAAAATGGAGGGAGGAACAAAGAAATAGCCGTTGGGATTGACTCTTATGGCTTCGCAAAAGACAGCACGAGCCCAACGACCATTTATGCATGGAATCCTTTTATTTTTATATGCTTTTATTTACGATCAGTTACTATGATAAGAATTTACGATTGATCGCCAATTGTAGATAGTGAACTTCACAAAAATTGGTAATAAGCACCGACATTTTGCAACGACGCATATAGTGGATGGAATAAGACATGTGAGACTAGAGGTCCTAGACATCATGATTGTGGCATAGAAGTGTGTTCAAATGTGCATATTTGTCAAGGAGCGATCACATCATGTGTATAGTACAAAGTACTAGTAAAATGTGAACGTGATTGTTCTATATGAAATGTTGTGTTGGGAAAGGATAACATTGAAAAGTAAATTAGACGATTCATTGTCACCTATATCAATGATGATCACCAGTCACCACTAATTATGAATAACATTACTCTTTAAAATTTTAAAAATATGTAAGTAGCGAGTCTAATTGTTTAATATGAGATGTTTAATGTATATAAAGTTGAACCAAATTGCATCTTCGATCATCATATACTTCGTCGGTCAAAGTTGTGACAACTAAATCGAGCATTTTTAGTTGAATCCCTAACTCCTAAACCAATAATACATTTGTTAGAACTTTATTTTGTTATGTAACAAAAAGTACCAAGTAGATAAGGAATATAGAGACATAAGCGTGATCCCACACCTACACGCAAACAAACACGCTTCTTTGCTCTGTCGCTCTCATAAACTCGCCCCGCAATTTTAAGCTTACTTCAATCCCTCGCACCTCTGTTTCTATTGTCTCTATACACATGAAGAAGAGCATGTGATTTAAATATCGAATTAGATTTGATTTTATAGTATTCGTTTCACATTTTCCATTTCCATTTAGAATATATTATGGGCCCATTTGATATTACTTTTACTTTTGTTTCTGCTTCTTGTAGAAGAGGTTTTGGATAAAGTTATCATAAGTTTTGTTTGAAAATTAATTTTTAAAGAACTTTCTTTTTCAAGAAGTTCTTTTAGAGGAAAATGTATTGGATTGACTTCCTTTAAAAACTCTTCTAATTAGAAAAAATACTTTAATAAAATTAGTCAAAATGGTTCAAAAGTAACTTTAGAGTCTCAAAAACTCTTTTTAACTTTTTAAAAGTCATACCAAACGAGCCCTATGCATCGTGTTATAAAATTAATTTCAGAAAAAACTTTTCAAAATAATATAATGTAGGAAGTTCAAAACCTTTGAGACTTGTGGTAACATGATATTTTAAAGTGAAATTATTTGTCATTAGTTGGTGCGACCTCTTTGGTTAATTAGGGATGACAATAGGGCGAGTATGGGCGGGTCGGCCATTGCCATCCCGTCTCGTCAGGTATTTTTGTTATCTTACCTCATACTCATACCCGGTTAAAGCAAGAAGGGGCGTGTTTCGGGTGGGGCAAGTCTTCTGCCTCATTTATTTATTTATTTTTTTATGTCCTTAGTTAATAAATAGTATTACTTTTTTACCAATTTGTTAAAAACAACTTATTTCCTGTTTAAAAAGAATGATAAATTTATTATTTTTGTTTGATAAAAACTTAAATTTGAAATTAATATTAAACAGGGCCGGTAACGAAGTGGGGACTATGTTTCCCATACCCGCATCGGGGCAATGATCTTCACCTCATACCCATCTAGACGGGTATTACCCAACCCGTCCCATTTGGGACGGGGCCCCAGGGATATCGGGTTGAACGAGTTTTTTTGCCATCCCTATAGTTAATCTTTTACAGGATACATCGATAATATTACTTGTTCAGCAATAACAAGTGATTTCCAGTACTTTTAGGAATTACTCCAGAGCAATATATCAACAAAATAATTCAAGAATCAATTTTGTATAAAATATATAAGATAAAAAAGAAAAAAAGCAGTGATTTTATTATTCCTCTAAATCACCCGGTAAATGCCTTCAACTAATGTATTTCACACCTTTTTTCATTTAGCCAACTATCCCAATTAATTATTTCTTTCAAATAATTAATATATTAACAATATGTAGACAAAGTTTACCATCTTTCTTATACAAATAACCCCTTTCTCGTCCAGCTGGTCTTGTTCAGTTTTTTATTACTCTGCCATTATAACTCCCTCTCACACTCGCACAGATAGAAAATTATGGCCAAAAAGTGCTCTCTTTTGTTGCTAGCATTTGTTCTCTATCTGATTCACTGCCAATCAACAATTGCTCAATTGCAAAATAAGATCAGTGCCATTGATCTTGATGCATTGCACCAAATCAAGAACACTCTCATCGACATTCATGCAGTCTCTTCTCCACACTTCTTCTCAAGCTGGGACTTTGCCTCGGGTGACCCTTGCTCGTCCTTCGCTGGAGTCACCTGTTCATCTTCCGAACAACCAAGACGAGTCGAGTCACTTGTCCTAGGGACTGGCCTGTCTGGTTCACCAGGATTTGCTGGAACATTGTCTCCCTTTATTGCCAACCTCACCGAGTTAAGCCAGCTCGTTCTGTTTGCCGGCATTGTTACGGGGAGTATTCCTTCCGAACTTGGATCCCTAAAGAAGCTAAGAGTCATCTCTCTCACTAATAATCTCTTAACCGGCACAATCCCGGCATCCATTTTCTCTCTGCCGGATCTTCACACCCTGGACCTCGGCCACAACCAGCTCTCAGGAACAATGCCGCCCACCATATCCGCCTCAATTCAGTTGAAGGTTCTGGTGCTGGCCGACAACAAAATTTCTGGACAGCTGCCCCGTGGCTTTCCGGAGAAACTCCTGCACTTGGATTTCAGTCAGAATAATATCTCCGGCATGCTGCCGGCAAGGATGTCGGCATCACTTCGCTACCTGTCGGCATCTCAGAACCGCATGTGGGGCCCCCTCAACTGCCTGGAATCGACCTTAGAACTAGAATACCTGGACTTGAGCATGAACAACTTCAGTGGGGGCCTCCCCACCTCCCTCTTCCAGCCCAAGCTCACTTCAATGCTGCTCCAACGAAACAATTTATCAGGTGGGTTCCCACCATTGGCGCCATACCCCTATGGACCAGGTTCCATTATTGATCTTAGTCACAACTTTTTGACAGGTGAATTAACTCGGGTTCTAGTAGGAGTTGAGTCTCTCTTTCTGAACAATAATCAGTTAAAAGGAACAGTGCCCAAGGAATACTTTGGGAGTTTGAGCTTAGGCAAAACAAAAACGCTGTACTTGCAACATAACTACATAACTGGATTTCCAACTGCGGCAGAGTCATCATGGCCGCCTTGGGACTTGATTGCAGTGTGCTTATCTTATAACTGTATGGAGGTACCTGTAGTAGTGGGGATAATGGCGTGCCCGAGCGGCATAGGAGAGCAGATTTCGCGGCCTGCTAACCAGTGCTCTGCATTTCATATTAGGAACACTACCTCAAAGGAGAAAGAGGACTAAATCAATAGTTGATTATTTTCAATGAAAACTACTTATTTTTAAACTACTTGTTTAAGATTACAGTGTAAAGATAGGTCTAGCAATCGAGTGTTATATAGTGTAATCTGGTTCTGTTCAAAGGACTTCTGCCATATATTTTATAATGATAATTCTGCAGATATTTCACAACACCAGACTTTCAATTTTGAGAAAATTATAGCATCGGTCTTGAGGAGATATTACGGCTATGATGTCGACTCCAACTTGTATTTTATGATAGCGTACCCTTATTTTTTAAGTTAAAATAAATAAAAAGAAAACGAAAAAAATTATTCATCTTTCCGAATCATCCCACCCTACTGTTCAAGCCCCCACCTCAAACGATGGGCTGTTTTTTCTCCTAGATTCCAAGCAATACGAATATATAACTACGACGTGCATTTGAGGTATACATTTTTCGATGCTATTCGTATTTTAATAACCACAAATTATTTGAGATAGATAAAATTACAAGTTGGATTTGATATGCAGAACACATTGAAATTGGCTGGCAAAGATCAACTTGAGACAATATCAGTCCATACAGATGCTAGATTTGATACCTTGGTTTCCGCCTCAAGAGAAAAAAAGTAAACAAATCATAAATTTGTACTATTTCTTAGACAGTGCCTGATAATTAAGAATTTAACCCCTTGTACAAAGGCGATTGCCAGGAAAAATACCAGGGAGACAGGTGGCTCTTGTGCATTGGTTGGGATAAATGTACGCTACCTGTCCCCCAGTAGTACAGTCTGGCGATTCTCCCTGTACATATAGCAGGATTGGAAACTAATTAGCAAAGAAAATTGAAGAAAGGAGTTGAGTAATTAGCAGCAACCTTATCTTGAAACAAGATACATGACATGAGAAGCACCAACAGCCACAGAAAGTACATCGTGGTTTTCCATTTCATCTTCATCATCATCATCTACAAGAAACTTTACTTCAAGAGGAGATGATTGTAACTCCGGCAGCCTGAACTGGCAATCTTTGGCATTTCTCCACGTGCAATTTACCTTTTTCTGTGCATAACATCACTTATTGAAAATGTTTGGCGAGCTTAAAAGTACATCAAACTTCCTTTCGTTTAATTTTTGTTACCAAATGTGTTTCGTTATGGTTAGGTACTTTCCCTTGTTTGGCACCTCTGTCAAAACCACTTTTTATTCACATAATTCGTAACACCCACAAGTACTATTCACTTATCAACCACTCATTTCTATATATCTAGAATTTAAATTTTTTATACACAACTCCCAAACAAGTTAGAAACAAGTAACTTGCTCATTTGGAACTTTGTTTAACAAACTTATAAGCATATTCACTATGCTAAACAAAATTTGCACGAAGTAAGGTAACATATGGTACAAGGGTCAGTGATTGCATCCCGTTTAAAACTATCACATTGACGTTCATTATTTTGATCTCTTAGATATATGCACATGCTAAATTTAGACCAGCAATAAATTCTTGCCTTCTATTTGAAGTACCTCGTAAATTACTGTGCATTTCAACGAGTCTAATTCTTAATATGAAACAACTTGACCTCATCGCGAAGTGATTCAAAGTGGACAACTTTCTCAAGTACCTCGTAAAGTACTGGTATCGGACGCGCACGAATAGGTGGTTTTCTTTCTCTATTTATAGTTTGCTGTTTTTACTTTTCGTAACTTCCTTTATTTATAGTAGCTTTGTATTCAAGGTGCAATTGCATTTACGATTCCTTCAAAGTCTTTAGCGAGATGCGTGAAAGAGATGTTGTTTCTTGGAATACCATGATCACTGCTCATACACAAAATGGTTTGGACAATGAAGGTTTAATGCTTGTCTGTAAGATGCAAAAGCAGGGGCTTTCAATTGATGGTGTGACAATTATTGCACTGCTTTCGGCTGCATCAAATCTAAGAAACCAGGATACCGGTAAAGAGACTCTTATTTAATTAGGCAATATTGTTCAATTTGATGGGATTGACAGTTACCTCATGGACATGTATGCCAAATCAGGTTTTATACAACGCTGTGACCAAGGGTGAAATCAGGAGTTTGAGTCAGCACGGGTTGCCGTTGACCATTTACCATTGGCCGCAATAAAATATTTAGAGTCTTTTTGATACCCATTCTTATTTTTGCAAAAACTGCATTTTGGATTAATGATTTGATGGAGAATGTGTGACTTAAAATAAAGAAAATGTTTTTTTGAATTTACGTGTAATATTATTTTATTGAAGAACGTACGGATGAAAATAAGAAAGAATAACATATTTTAAAAAAATAGGAATCGGACAACATCTAAAATATAAATATAACAATTATTTTGTTCAAATCGAACATATATAATTATGTTATAAGAATCAACGGAATTCATCAAATGATATTATTATCAAGTTTTGTATAATATAAAGGAAGAGTGCGAATTCGAATCTTTAAAATTTTTTGCATTAAAATAGTCAAAACCTAACAAATATTATTTTGTTAAATTTAATGACACAATTCAAGAGATACCATAATGGTTGAGTTTACAACCATCATTGTTTGAGATCACCAATTTGAATCCTCATTGCCCCTCTCCCTATTGAATTTTTCTAAAAACTATAGAAACAATATAATACATAACAAATCCATTGACAAGGGACTTGAACATGAGACCTCAAGCATGTTTCACCAACTCAGCTGTAGGTGATGTTTGAAAATAAAATGTATTACTAGAAATATAAGGTAAAAATTTAATCTATTGTTAAAAAAAAATAAAAAAAATTCTCCCAGCGGATCCACCGCCCTAGCTGGCCATCACCTAGATCCACCACTGGCTGTGACCATAGCTTCAATCCTCCCTGCATGCAGTCACTTAGGAAGTATAGCACTAGGAAAGTTACTCGGTTTTTCCATTCGCCATTTCCTGGACATTGATGTTGTTGGGTTTTGATACCCAATAAGCCCCTATTTGGTCCTCCCTTTTTGAAATGAAAATGGATGGGAAAGTATTTTTTTTATAAAAATAGGTGGTCGAAAAAGAAGGAAAAATTTTCGATTTATGTGTAATATTATTTTATTGAATATTGTGTGATTGAAAATAGAAGAGAAAAAAATGAAATCAAATTTAATGGAGGCCAAATGGGAACAAATCCCAAGTGATGATGTTAGTCATTGGAAATTTTTAGTCGACATTTACCAAATGGCTAAATTAATTATCGACTCCTAAATAAAATGGCTTGACCCGAAATTACTTGGGACCATTGAAAGTAACCTAATTTAATTAGAGACGCTCTTATGGTTCATTTACTTCCTAGAGGCTCATATAGGTTGGCCCATTATCCATGTTAAGTTGGCCCATTTGTTACCTTGGTTTTGGCCCACTTGTTTTAGCTAACCTATGTATATGTGGTTGCCTCTATGCATTGTTACCATGTGTGTTTATTTCCTGTGAAAGCTTGGTGACTACAGTTGCTTTGTGCTCTCTTTAACCCGTCTTTTCCCCTCTTTTTTGTCTTTGTGGCTAAAAAAAAAGGAAAAATACTCCTTCCTGAATCCTTCGTGGGTGCAATCTAAAGAAATGAAGTGAACAAGTGATAGTTGTTTTGGGTCATAGATTTGAGGTGTTGATAAGGTTGAGATGGGATTGACAAAGCCCGAAGATCACCTTCTTGGAGCGAGCTTCCACAACAAATGTCTTTGTCAGTTCAGCTCTGGTATATTGACATTAGCTTCTGTAAGAGAGGAAGAGAAAAGGAGAAGAAATCTGCTTCAACCAGCCCATTGGTAGATTGACATCAACCATCGTGGTAGGATCATCTTGCAGCAATATAACTTCCTCGCACTAGTCCTACACTTTCTATCTGTCATATTAACTATTCCTAATTATCGGATATAGCAACAAAATTCTTAGACCCACCCTACTTAAAATGATTTGTCTTTTGGTCGCGTGGTGCCAATGATTGTGTAATGCCCCAAATTATATCAATTTTAATATTGGGCTGTTACCGATATCATTTCATAAACATACTTGAAGCAGAAATATTTAATTGAAAATTTAAAACCCTTAATTTATTTGAAAATAAAATAACATTGTCATAGAATTTAGAGCATTAAATGGAATTAAAGAAAAACAAAATAAATAAATAAATAAATAAAATCCTAACAAAATTATTCTTAAATATTTTCTTGAAGATTTTCTTGACTTGGCAACCCATGCACCGCTCAGTTACCATCTCCGTCGACCGACCTAACCTGAAATTTTAAAAGTGAAGGAGTGAGTAATTTATATTCAGTAGGATATGTGCATCCAATACAATACGATAACTTTTAAAACATGAATTCATAACATTCTATACCATCATTTCATCAAAAGCAATAGGTGATCAATGGAATGCTATAGTATATTTGAGAAGACCCGAATGAGATTCACATTTCATTTCATTGGGACCCACGAGTCAATTAGCATTTCATGAAATAAATCATGTATAAAAATCATAATATTGTAGGGACATATCACTTGCACTTAGTATCCTACCTCATTTGATCAAATGAATTATTGAAAGACAAGATCCAAAAACCACGCTCCAAATTTTTATTTTCTGCATACATAATTGTTTGCCGTGTATATGCATATATTAGATGAAAATAAAGAGGCATGGCAGCTTGGTAGAATATGAATACAATATAGGTTTATGCTAAATTTAAAAAATGAGACACAAACTAAAGAGGTGGGGTTCCTGCCAAATGTAAGTGCACGTCATTAGTATTTATAGGCAAAATAAAATAGTTGATTAGGGTAAGGAATGTATTTAGATAAATTGTTTCTAGCCAAAAATTGCAGCAAGAGGATAAGATTAAAACAAGAATAAATTGCATTGTATATAATATAAGACTACTTTGCCAAATTATGTAAAATGCACGTGTACACTAATAGAAGGAAAACTGAATTTATTTATTTTTATATAGTGGGTGTCAAAATGGAAAGGCAGAAGTGGATATGATTCAATCATTTTCAAATTATAAGCGTGATTAGTATATAATAAAACATTATAACATTGTCCTAATTATCTTAAAAGATACAACCTCTTGCTAATCATGTGTACACATAGGAGAAACTAACTTTAATTGGGACGTTGAATCGTTTGTCAAAGGCCCAAAGTTGTGCCTTACAATTAGTCTTGCAAATTATGTAAGATTTACTTAATATAA